TCTATCTATCTATCTATCTATCTATCTATCTTTCTATCTATCTATCTATCTATCTATCTATCTATCTATCTATCTATCTATCTTTCTATCTATCTATCTATCTATCATTCTGTTGTTCTATCTATCTATCTGTCTATCTATCTATCTATCTATCTATCTATCTATCTGTCTATCGTTCTGTCGTTCTATCTATCTATCTATCTATCTATCTATCTATCTATCTGTCGTTCTATCTTTCTATCGTTCTATCTATCTATCTATCTATCTATCTATTGTTCTATCATAATAGTAATAATAATAAAGTAGTTATATTGGCATGATAAAAAGGCTTTACACCGCCAAAGCATTTGTAACATTAAAGTACAGACACACATTTAAACAAAATAAAATGGAAAAAATTGAAATAATAAGTAAAAATATATATTACAGTTTTTTTACAATCATTTTTGCACTAATAACAGAACCTTAATGTCATTTTTCAAAACTCTAGACACAAAACTCAAAACTCAGAATTACAAGATATAAACTCAGAATTGTGAGAAAAAAGTCAGAATTACAAGATATAAACTCAGAATTGTGAGAAAAAAATCAAAATTTCAAGATATAAACTCAAAATTGTGAAAAAAAAATCAGAATTATAAGAAAAAAGTCAGAATTACAAGATATAAACTGAGAATTGTGAGAAAAAACTCAGAATTACAAGATATAAACTCAGAATTGTGAGAAAAAACTCAGAATTACAAGATATAAACTCAGAATTGAGAAAAAAAGTCCGAATTGTGAGCTTCCATAGTATAATGAGATCAGAACAACTAGATTGGATTTATTGATGATAAATATATAAACTAAACCTGGTTACTGTGTGTTTAAAACACATTCGGTTCATATTACAGAAATCATTGATGTATGACTGACAAATATGCATCACATTAAGTTTGTTAGTTTGTTTGTGCATTAATCTTAAACCCTACAAATTTGTTAAATGATTTTGAGATATTAGAAGAGGCAACACCTAATTTAAGATGAGCAGAATCTGAAACCTCGAACCACATTGCTGGAGACACATTTTATCTGTGCTCTTTCATTTAGAGCGAGTGTGTAAGTCCCTGCCATGATCCAATTAACAGTTCAGATGCTAATAAAAGCGTGACCCTCGAGACCTTCACTAAATCCAAGCCTACGGCCACATGACAGACTAGACCGTATATCATATGCCACAAAACCTAAACAGATTTTGACGAAGGTTCATCTAGAATCGTTGGCCTGTTCTTGTCTTCACCACTTCTCCACAGTAAGATATAAATATCTCATGATGACCTCTGCCATTTCTATTTTCACCTCACTATCCGGTCTGCAAATCACAGTTTATTGGACAACTTTATTCATCGTGGATTGAGTATAAAAACAGGGCAAAAACAAGAGAAGTCAGCTGTTCAGAGAGATATTACTGTACGTAGCAGACAAAATAGCAATAGAAAATCATGTCATCTTTTCCCATGGCAAATCAATCCCTCGGACGGGTTCATTTCTCAGTTTAACCACTGCTACCTCGCCCCACCTTTTGAATGAACGGCAGTAAATCCGATCAACAGCCTGTCAGAAGCGTTGATTTACACACCTTCGCGCACTTATAAGGGTTCTTCCAGATGCTGTTGTCCGATATGGTAATGCCACAGAAGCCCAGGGGAGAGACGAGCTCTAAAAATACCATCATATGCTGATAATCGCCACTTCAGTTTCACAGACTTTGCTAGCGTGAAAGAACACTCTGGAGAGCTGATTTAATAGTGTTTGCCACCATCAAAATGCAAAGTTAGTTGAAACTCAGGTTTCTATTTAAAGCTGCACTTGGTTATGTTTTTCTAATTAAATAAAAAAGTTGCACACATAAAGACATGAATAAAATAAAATAAATATGTATACAACATTTATATAATACCATCGCTAACAGAAAATGTTAAATTGTTACACTACCAAGTCTGGGGTCGATAAGATTTTTTTAAATGAAAAAAAAAAAAGTATCTTATGCTCACCAAGGCTGCATTTATTTGATAAATATTGTGAAATATTATTATAATTTTGAATAGCGGTTTTCTATTTGAATATATTGTAAACTGTAATTTATTCCTGTGATCAAAGCTGAATTTTTAGCATCATTACTCCAGTCTTCAGTGTCACATGATCTTCAGAAATCATTCTAATATGCATTTTTGCTGCTCAAGAAACATTTCTGGTTATTATCAATGTTGAAAACAGTTGTGCTGCTTCTGATACATTTTATTTTTCAGGATCCTTTGATGAATAGAAAGCTCAAAGAACAGCATTTATTTGAAAGATTTATTTGTAACCATGTTAACATCAGTTTTGATCAGTTCAATGCATCCTTGCCAAAAGTTTCTAAAAGTAAAAATTTCTTTAAAAACTAAAATTAAAACTTTTCAGCAGTAGTGCATATTCACAATGGTAGGCGTCAAAATAAAGTCCAAGACAATTGCTGTAACAACCAGTGCAAATGTGCGGCACAAAGTGCAGATGTAAAATAATTTTTAATTTCTTATAAAAAAAAAAGTGAAAATGCTAATATTTTGCATTTAATCCAAAACCAAACACTGACATTATTAATCAGCTCAATTTACAAAAATCAAAGCTAAATCATTTCCAGGTTTAAATGCAACAACTCAAGATTTTCAATGTGGTCTCTGGCAATAATGCTCTGCGGTTGCTCATTTACAAATAAACAAAATGCAAAGAAAAACATGCATGTAATGCATGCTTAACACTTGAGAACAGTTAGCATTTGCCAACAACCTATGACTGAGATACTGTATCAATCCAGTTATTTATTATGACCCTGCAGCTGCCAGAACATTTTATTACCAACAACAATCTGCCTTACAGGTCAAGAGTCCATAACTTAAAGAACCACCTCATAAGAACGTAGTACTAAAGTCTATTTACTGTATGTCACAGACAGCACTGGAAAAGTGCAAATAAAACAATGCAACTATAAAATGCAACTATAGCTATGATAGCAAAATCAATAGGAATACAAACTTTGAAAAGGAGCATGTCTAATCAGTCCAGATTTGACCATAAATTGCTTAATTAGAAGCTAGTTGCAATATTAAATTAGTAATTACATTCCCCTGGAGTGACCCGGGATCAAGTGCCTTGCTCAGGGGCACAATGCTGACAGACTGTGTCTCAGCCACTACGCCGCATCAGTCATTCACGTGCACAAATATAGACAGCCACCTCGGCACCGGTTTCATTACGTGCTGCATTATCTGCCACCCAGATTCGCCGATTTGGTAAAGTGTGACCAGGTGCTTTTATAAAATAATCTGCATAAGATCTGAATTGCCTGAGTGATATAGATGGATGTTTAGCAGGTCTGTCAGGAGCCGCCGGTTATATACTTGTTTGTGTGTGTGTGTGTGTGTGTGTGTGTGGAATTGTGCTAAGACAGGGAGCTTACCGTCCTAATGTGCTAAATCCAGCGTGTAGTACACTGTGTTGAGTATCGCCACAATCCCTCTGAAACACACACACACACACACACACACACACACATATTCGTCTTAGGTGAATCATGAAGACAAAGTTTCTTACTAGTGAGGTGTTTATACACCAAATATAAACCATAAACCCTAGACATAACACATTTCTATGTGTTACTGCTGTCAGCCAGGAGTTATTTATGTTTATATGGAGGGGCAATTCGACCAAAAGGCGATACAAAATGAGTACAGTACATGAATGAATTACATATTAATATTACAATTTAGGCGAAGTGTGAAATTTGTGCGGCTTAAATTGGAATTGCAACATGTACATTAGTAATAACATTTGGAGCAGGATTCGAAGATCAGATCATTTTACTAAATCCCGTTCGGCAAAATGAACTAATCAACGCCATTTTGTTCATTTTTCATTAAAATGTTTTATTTTCAATAGTCAAATTTCCTGAACAAGTCCATATACGCGATTTTTGATCATATTTCGGATTAGGAATATGTTCTATTTTATAATAAGTGATCAAATTCCTAATTCCAATTATAAAACGGATAGTTCTGGTCCTTGATTCTGATTGGTTGAGCCGCGTTCAAAGCTGTTGTAAATTACTCTACAAACATACACCTTTGTTTACTTCTGTCTGTTGCTCGGCAACCACTTTGTTGGAACCACAACTGTTTCTGAGGAACTACATTGTTTGGTGGAAGAATACTGTTTTTATTTATATCATTACACTTTATTTGCTCGGTTTTATTCTGTGAAACCTTACTACGTATATGGAATAACCGTTTTATAAAAGCAATAAGCCCCGTGAAGCCGTGGTTTACAGTGAATTTATAACAGCTAAGGGGGTTTTAGGCACTCTGCGAACGCCCCTTACTTGTTATAAATTCACTGTAAACCACGGCTTCTTGGGGCTTATTGCTTTAATTCCTAAATGAATGAATCGCTCATCACTGTCTAAAAGATGTGTTTTAACCTTTATGAAATCTTTTCAGATAACAAAATAAACAAACACAATGAAAGAGAAAAATGAATGCATGAATAAATGCTTAAATAAATGCATGAATTAAAAGGTTTATAAATTAATTAATTAATTAAGCTGGGGGGGGGGGTTAATAAAGTTATTGCCAGACTTTAATGGCAATAATTTTTTCAGCTGCTTTAATGATTTAAATTTTCATTTTTTTAATGTCAAAAAACAGAGCAAATTCAGCAAACAAACAAATAAATAAGACAAAATAATTACTTCTAAATAATAAATGCTGAAATATATAAAAGCAAATAACATAAATTAAATTAAATTTAGAGAGGGTTAATCATTGTAGATTGAAAGTCATCTAAAGGGTTTTAAGGCAGTCCTTTTTCTAGCTGCTTTCAGGGTTGAAATAAAATTTTAGTTAAATTTTTTATTATCTTGCCATTTTTAAATGTCAACTTAAGTTATATGTGTGGTTTGAAATGCGATACGGTGCTTTAAAAAATATCCTGGTGAAGACAGACAAATGTCATCATGGGTTGAGGGTTCATATTTTATACAAACCTAAAAGAGCAACAACATCCTCCAAACTGAAGCAGAGCTTTCCTGATCCATCCTACTTGATTTTTAAAAGATTGTGGACACTGAAAAACATAATTAAACTGTAATGAGTCACCTAGTTTACTTAAAATCAACCTGAAGTGCAAACACAGAAACACTGCATGTGGCACATCCTCTCGATTAACCTAAAACAAATCACAGCATATCTGCGGTTACGGTCCTTATACTTTGAGGTCAGTCATTTTTGACAGTAATTTGACTGACCATAAGAGCCTGTCTGTAAGATGTTTGCTATTTGATATCGGTGTGGCCGATGGTTAGATTCCTGGCCTGACATAAGAGAGGTCACGATGTTACCGTGGCCTTTTAACAAGCACCATGGAAACAACTTGCCCTCCTAAGAACAAGGAGGATATTAGGCATGCTGCTATTTCAGACCACATGATCAGAGAGAGTTTCTCATTATCAGAGTGGAATCAGCTTGATGAAGTTGCATCAACACATCCAACTCCAAAAGAAAAAATTAGCACTCAACCTATATGGTTTTTCAACTGCAGATGCTGAAACTAAGTAACACATATCTGGGTTTCTGCAGGTTTAAGACTAAGTAAAGAATTTTAAGCAATAAATTGAAGGGAACACAAATCTTGCTCAGTAATTGTGTCTTGTTTTCCAGTGAAAATGTCTAAAAGATGCTTACATCAAGATATGTTTACTTGAGAAGATACGTACAATAAGTAGTCTTGTTTTTTAACGTAAACTTGTGTGTGAAAGAGAACTTAGTTTAGTACTCACATGCTGTGACAGCCGCTTTCTGTCCATGTGCTTCGGATATGTGCGCTCAGAAAACCATATCAGAAGTTTAAACTCATATGGTTTAAAACTCATGATTTCAGTGCGATAAACATGATAATCAGAACCAAAACAGATATTTTTAGCAGGTACGAGCGAGCTGTAATGGCGCAGTTCTATTCTGGAAAAGGGGGCGGGGAGCAGCAGCTAATTTGCATTTAAAGAGACAGGCACGAAAAACAGGTTGTTTCTGCTTCCACTCAAAACAGGCATTTTCAAAATGATGTAATAAATGATCTGCGGGGTATTTTGAGCTGAAACTTCACAGACACATTCTGGGGACACCAGAGACTTATATTACATATTGTAAAAAGGGGCATAATATGTCTCCTTTAATAAGCAGCAAATTAGGAATTTACTGAGGGAAAAGTCGTAGTTAATTTGAATAAGCGTTCCCTATTCTAAAGTGTTACCCCAATTTTTTTTAAGCAAATGGGCCAATTCCTATTTTTAAATATTTTTAAATATTTTATTTTTTTAAGCAAGAGACAAAAAATAATTAAAATATGAGTACATGAACAAGCTGTTTATTTGCTCTATTAGCAATTTAAAATTAGGGGCAACCACTGCATTTTAATCACGATCCAAATGGAGATGCTACATACATGTAGCATGAGCGATTTTTGATTTAAATTAGATCGTATAATTTTAAAATTTGAAGCAAAAACAGAATGGTCTTGACATTAGCTTTGTGAAATTATGCTACATAAAACATCTGCACGAAGCAGAAACAGCAGACGGACTGAATGAGATGCAGATTCCCTCTCTGACACCAGGTGGCGCTTATGGGACAGCAGCTATACGCCGTTTCCCTGGTTACCGCTGTAAACAAAGCAGCACTGGCTTATAAACACTATTTTAATTTCATTTTGCGCAATTGTGAACATAGTCAATATGACTATCGCTTTAAGCCATAATGTGATATTGATTTTATTTCGATATATCATGTATTCCTAATTAAAATAGCATTAGTACAAAACAAATCTTTACTCGTTTGGGCGATCCTATCAGCCTTGACTGTAATAAATAAATTGAGCTTGCACATTTATTTATGCCAATAAATGTACTACGACCAAAATAGTTTAAATGTTTTTATTTCTAATTAAATTAAATTTCAACTACAGACCCGATGTCAAAATGAATACATCATGAAAATGTCACTTAGATATGTGAACCTCAGTGCGTGACCTTATTAATATTCATGAGTTACGTCAGGAGGCCACTTAATATATAACGCTAGACTGATATAGCAAAAAGCAGTTGTGAAGAAACGATATTATAAGAACGAACCTCTTTTTAATTTATCTCAGTGTAATTACGGAATTCAAACAATAAATGTGTTTTTGACACTAAAACATTGCGTGACGGATCGCTGTAACCCACGACAGTGCGGAGCACATTTGAATCGATCTTCCTCTTTTACTCTTAGTTAAAGCACGAAAACATGAATGAACATCAGAAGGTATGTTGAAATATAAAGTACTAAACTTACCTTAAAGGATAATCGCTCATGTAATCGCCCAATCAGTGTTTCAACAGCGGAAAGACGTAATTGAAACAGCTTATAAACAACACCTGACCTCACCTTTACCTCAGAAAAGCCAGTCAGTGTCGATAGCTCTAAGGTCTTAAGCAACTTCCTGGCATCATTTAAACCACATACTAACTATATAAATGAGTCACTTAGAATTCGAGATCTAAGTTGGTGTGCATGAAAGGACTGTGATATAATGTGCAATAATTCCTATTTGGAGGTGTATGTAAATATAATTAGCCTGCCCTATTATGAAAATGAATAAAATATTAAAATGAATGACTGCAAAAGGGTGAGAAGAGGAAAGAATTGTCTCCTTCCTTGTGTATGAAGCTCACCCAGAATTCAGTTATTTCAGTGATACTATCATTAATGCCATTCATTGTTAATTTAAGAAAACAACCCAATATATTATTGTTTTATGCTTAAATATTTGCAAGGAATATTTAAAATGGAAACAGAGCGTGCATTTTGTTGACACCATTTTCACCATGAGTTTTACAGGATCCCTATCTGTGAATATCCGAGTCTGTCTGCACGTGTGTGTGTATTTTTGTATTTATATAACATACCTGTTCCATGCTTGCAGAACGAACCGAGCTGACGGGACTCTTTGTAGAGAAGCCAGAAAGTGTGGTAGGCATCGCAGGTATAAAAACACAGACACAAACACATTATTAAAGCTCCAAATAGTTGTCATAACAAAACAACCATCATTAAAAGTTAGATGTGTGTGTGTGTGTGTGTGTGTGTGTGTGTGTGTTTAACACACGTAAAGATGTAACATTTGTGGTTAAGGTGGACTCCACTAACCTCACATGTAAACCCACCATGAAGTGGTTGAAGGGGAAGTGGATGGACCTCGGCAGCAAAGCGGGAAAACACATGCAATTAAAAGAGTCCTATGACAGAAACACTAAGGTGAGAGGGGAGTGTGTTGTCACATATAATATTAATACTCCATATAATGTAAAGAATATTCATCATAACAGGGTGTCTAAATTAATCCATATCCAGGTTTGATGAATGTATGGTGCATTGTATGGAAGCCTGGTTCCACCATAGGATAAAAAATAATTAAATAAATGTAATTGACATTTTATCTCACAATTCATACTTTTTTCTCAGAATTGCAAGATTTAAAAAAATCACAAAAATCAGAATTGTGAGATATAAACTTGCAATTGCAAGAAAAAAGTAAGAATTGTGAGATAAAAGTCGCAGTTCCTTTTTTTATTCTTCTGTAGCGGAAAGAAAAATGCAGAATTGCTTGATGTAAACTAATTAAAGGGGTCATATGATGCTTTTTTAAAGATCATTATTTTGTGTATTTGGTGTAACAGAATATGTTGACATGCTTTAATGTTCAAAAAACACAAAGTCAGAATTCTGAGTTTATATCTTGCGATTTTGATTTTATTTTTTCTCAGAATTGTGAGAAAATAGGATTGTGAGATATAAACTCAGACTTGTGAGAGTAAAAGTCAGAACTGTGAGATAAAAAGTCACAATTACCTTTTTTATTTTTTATTCCATGGCGGAAATGGTCTTCCATAATATGGATCTTCAATCTTATTATCGCATTTGTATGTCAAAACTGTAATGTTAAAGGTATTAATTTTATCATCAGAAATCTTCTAAATTCTTTAAATAATTATATTAGTACTACATTGACATTGGCCTTTTTCTACAAAATAGAATATAGATTCTCTTTACACTTAGTTGATCAACTTAAATTAATTTGTGTCTTGTATTTTATTACACATCATCCTTAAATGTGGCACGTTTCTTTCACTCGTTCCTTCTCAGATCTACACGTTCGAGATGAAGATCGTCAAGGTGGTCCCAGGAGACGCAGGTGGATACAGGTGTGAAGTTTCTGCTAAAGACAAATGTGACAGCTGCACCTTTGAGATCACTGTGGAGGGTTAGTGCGTCTTTCACACACAATCAGACACAACAAAAAGAACACTTACATACCGTCTTAGTATAAATCTGTAAATGACTGTTCTATATTTATCTTTCATCCTTGTCTGTAGCTGCTGAACAAGAGGGTCAAGAAGATATTTTGTCTGCCTTCAAAAGAGCGCGAGTCTGAATAGTATATTTAGTATATTTCTCACAAGTATGCAACCACATATTTAGGACTGAACCAACCATTTAAAAAAACACAAATCGGTTAACTGTTAATCTAAATATTGGGGCGTTCATTCATGCACTGGAATTGAATAAAAATAATAAATTTTGAGTCATGATGACTTATGAAAATTGGATGCACAAATTAACGCACATTTGTGATTTAGAAATGACAAAAAAAAAAAACTTTCACACAATATACATAGTCTCTCGCTCTCTCTCTCTCTCTCTCTGTCCAAATTTTTGAGTAAATGAGCCAATTTATATATATACATATTTATAATGACTCATTTAATTTGTTTGTTTTGATTCACAAAACAAACATTTCACACAATATACAAGACACCCATACATGTCTGTATTTTATATGTATATGTTTATATATGACTTTACTTAAAATCACTTGTGATTTGTTCTCCTAAATTAAGTGAAATAAAAAATTTACAATTAAATGAGATACACATCGATCGATAGATAGATAGATAGATAGATAGATAGATAGATATTTTTTTAAAACTTTGATCACTGATGTTAGTTTTTAGTCTTTTGTTCTTAATTTTAGAAAAAATATTACAGAGATTTAATATAGTTAATTTATAATGGCGTTTATATATATATATATACATACA